TCTGGGGCACCGGGGGTGTTTCCAGCACTGTCGTCATTTCCTCACCTCTCCCCTCCCACTCGAGACTCATTGCATGCTGACGTCTGGCCTTGGCCTCCTGGAGCTCCTGCTTGCTCAGTCTCGGGCCATCTGTCAGCCACAAAGCAGCCTCATCACGGCTCAGAAGTCTCAGGAGTGCCCTGAACCCACCTGTGCAGGCACACTCCAAGTTCTAGAGAGAGATCGGACCCAGCAACTGGGAAGCCCCGGTCCCGATCCCCGGAAGGCCCTCGGCCAGCTGGTTGAATGGAGCGACCAAGCCAAGAGCCGGGGCTGTTGCGCCGAGAGCTCCCCAGAGTCCCTTCTGAGCTCACCACCAAGTCACCACCTCGCCTGCCCTCCACTAATTCATGCGGCGCTAGCACTCAAGACAAAGAAAAGGCTTTCAGTCGTGTTACTGGGCCTGTTTTGCAACAGGATTCTGGGCTGCCATTGTGTGCATAATTAGCTTTGTGTGTGGTGGGAGGGCCTGGGGAAGCGGCTGTGAGTGGGCTGTGATCTGGGAGAGGCAGGAGGGCAGCACAGGGCCCCAGAGCTGTTCCGCGCACCCAGCAGAATGCTCCCTATCCACGGGGCCATTTTCTCCCAGACTGGGGACTCCGGGCAGGCTGGGGTGGTCTCTGGAATCTTCTAGTGCCAGCCTGGCTCTGTGGGCCTCACACACCTCTTGTTCTGATTGACAGGTGAATTTCATAGACAGACCCGACCACGGATGGTAGAAGCTGCCAATAGCTAGCAAGGGCTGCTGTGTGCCATGCGTTGTGCTAAGCACATATGCTTGTCATCTCACTTCTCCATGGGCAGGTCAGAAGGACCCTTTCAAAATCCAGATCGCCTGGAGTCTGCCCCCGCCTGAGGCCCTCAGGAGCTGGCCTCTGGTGCCTGCTCTGGCTGCACGCCCTCCTCTTCCTCCCTGGCTCACCTGGCTCCCAGCTTTTCATGCAGCTGCTACAGGGCCTTTGCACTGACTTCCCCTCCAGACTTCCCAGCTCACCCCTTCACTTTGTCAGGCCTCTGCTTACGTGTTTTAGCTGACGGACCCTTTCCCAATCTAAAACACCACCATCCTCCTGCTCTGTGGCCTTCCCTGTCTTCCTTTTCCTTTCCTTTTTTTTTTAAAGATTTATTTTATTTATTTGAAAGGCAGAGTTACAGAGAGAGAAGAGGAGGGAGGGGGAGAACAAGAGAGAGTCTTCCATGTACTGGTTCACTCTTCAGATGGCTGTAAAGGCCCAGGCTGGGCCAGGCTGAAGCCAGGAGCCTGGAGCTCCATCCCACATGGCTGGTAGGGGCCTATTCACTTGGCCGTCTTCCTCTGCCTTGTCATAGGCATTTGCAGGGAGCTGACAGGAAGTAGAGCAGCTGGGACTTGAACTGGTGTTCATGTGGGATGCTAATGAAGGGGCAGATTAACCCATGGCCTCCCTTTGTCACAGTGCTCAGCACACCTGGCATTATTATTGCAAATCAATTTGCTTATTTGTCTGCTACCTGCCTCCCCGACCAGAGTCCAAGTTATGAGAAGATAGGGGCCTAGTTTTTTTTTAAGTTTTATTTATTTATTTATTTGACAGGTAGAGTTATAGACAGTGTGAGCGAGAGACAGAGAGAAAGGTCTTCCTTCTGTTGGTTCACTCTCCAAATGGCCGCAACAGCCAGAGCTGCGCCGATCTGAAGCCAGGAGCCAAGAGCTTCCTCCTGGTCTCCCATGCGGGTGCATGCACCATCCTCCACTGCCCTCACAGGCCACAGCAGAGAGCTGGCCTGGAAGAGGAGCAACAGGGACTAGAACTGGTGCCCATAAGGATGCTGGTGCTGCAGGCGGATTAACCTCATGCGCCACGCGCAGGCCCCAGGAGCCTAGTTTTGTTTGCTGCCTGATTCCCCGCCCCGAGAACACTGCCTCCCCGGCACTAGGCCCTCGGTGAAGATGCAGCCAGAGAATAAAGCAGTGAGTGACTCCGCCCCACCCCCACCGTGTGAGCGCTGTTCTTGCCCCCATGTCCTAGAGGAGAAAACCAAGCCTTTGTGGGTTTAGCAATGTCCTTGAGGGCATGGACCTGGTGAGTGACATGAGCCCAGAAGCCAAAGGCTCTGCCTCTGGGGTCCCAGCTCCCAGCCACTTGCTTGTTCAGCTTTTTCCCTGCCCTGGAAAATGGCCCCCAGCATCTCTCCAAGAAAAAGGGCTTGTGTGGGTTCAGCTGTTGAGAACTACTCTTATCCCAAATCCCACCCGAGATTTCAAATGCGTGCTAGCTCATGAAAGGCAGAGTCCAGCAGGGAGGCGCTGGCTGAACTTGTGTCTCCCAGATCTTTGATCGTTGAAGTCTTTTACGTCATGTGTATGTGTGTATGTGTGTGTGTGTGTGTGTGTGCGTGTGCAGCCCTCACCCACTAACAGACTGCAAAACCATATCTTGGGAAACACTGGCCTTTATTCTTGCAGGGAGAAGTGGTCGGACAGAGAATGGGAGAGCGTTCTCTGGGTGTGTGGCATAGAGAAGGCTGAGGGCAGGCTCAGCCCCAGCGAGAGGGGCTCCTGGCCAGATGCGCTACCGGGCCCCCTGTGGCCTGTGTGTGTGCATGGGTGGATACAGGTGCCCTCATGCCCACCCTGTGAAACAGCAAGCCGAGCAGTGGGGCTCCTGCTGCCCTTAACCTGCAGCCCAGCCCAAGCTCACTTCTCTGCAGGCTGCTGAGAGCTTGGGACCCATGTGCTTGCTGGTGTCCTGACCTTTGGTTCCTGTGCCAGGCGACACTTGCTGGTGTCCCCCTGAGCCCGGTAGGCAGCAAGTCCTTACGTGTGTCACTTGGGAACATCAGCCTGGAGTTGCTTTCTGTCTTGGGTCTCCTTTCTGGAATTTCAAACTTTTTTTTTTACATTTTATTTTATTTATTTGAAAGACAGAGTTACAGATAGAGGTCCTCTATCTGTTGGTTTATTCCACAAATAGCTGTAATGACTGGAGCTGAGCCAATCTGGAGCCAGGAGCTTCCTCTGGGTCTCCCATGTGGGTGCAGGGGCCCAAGGATTTGGGCCATCCTCCACTGCCTTCCCAGACGCATTAGCAGGGAGCTGGACCAGAAGTGGAGCAGCCGAGACTTTAACCGGCACCCATCTGGGATGCCAGCACTGCAGGCCAAGGCTTTAACCTGCTGCACCACAGTGCCGGCCCAGAAACTTCAACCTTTGAAAAGGGACACCTGCTGCCTTGCCTACTTGTGTCTCCTCGGCTACCTCTGTGTTGAGCCCAGGGTGAATGCCCAGATAATTCTTGTTGGCTTCAGCATGCGGGAACCACTAATCCTGCATGTTGCATGGTTTGGTGCAAGGAAGGATAAATGGTGATGTTGCAAATCCCTTAATTCATTGCCAGAGCCCTGTCCAGTGGAGAGCAGAGCATCAGGGCCATGCGTGGAGCTGTCTGAGGCACTGCGGTTGTGGGAGACGTAGAGCAACTGTCAAAACCCCGGCTGCACCCATTTTTATTTTTGATGGTGCTTTGATGCTGTTAGGATTCAGGTCTCATCTTTGCCTCTGAGATCATCTGAATAGCCTTGGTGATGAGGAAGGGAAGAGCAGCGATGAGGCAGCCACAGGCAGCTCGTATATATCTGGGAGGAGGTAGCGGGGCACAAGAGCCCGGCCTGCGCCGCTCGCCCGGCACAAGGCTGAGTGGGCAGAAGCGAGTGGCATCAGAGTCAGCCGGGCTTTGCCCTCACCCCGAGCGGCCATGGGAGGCGCCATGCAGGTCTCCATCGTGCTCCTCCTGGTCACCATGTCCGACTGCGCCGTGATCACCGGGGTGAGTGCTCACACGTTCGCTTCCCCCCGGGGCGTCGGGAAGATGTCAGGGGCTGCCCAGGATGGGGATGCGAGCTCAGGGACCACGCAGGTGGCTCTGCCGGCTCCAGCTCCGCTCACCGGAAGGCAGAGAGATGGGGAGCTGGCCGCAAGACCCACTGTAGAGAGGAACTGCGTGCATGGCCTTGTGGCGGGCTGGCCCTCGCACTGCTAGGGGCTCTGCTTCTGAGAAGCTACCTGGGAATCAAATCCTGTTTTAATTGCATTAGGGAGAGCATTGACAAATCTGAAGCTTAGTCCCTGGGTGCCAGGAAGATCCCTAGTGTGCAATAGAGAATTTCTTTCCCAGGCGGCTAAGCTGCCCAGGGGAAGCTTGAGTGTGGAGGTGGGCTTGCTTTTCAAAGGTCTGGTCCCCATGTCAGTTTCAGCTTCCCCTACCTGCTGACTTCAGGCACCTTATGGTCTGCATGCATAAAGTTAGTCTCTGTGGTCTCTGCTCTTCAGAGAGGCTGTCCCTCCCACCTGCCCCCCCACCCCATGCCCAGTTAGTTCCAAGGGAAAACTGGGTGACAGCAGCATTTGTCTGAGTGACCCCAAAAGCCAGCAGAGGCCAGCACACGGCACTGTGTCTTCTCGTTTGACACACTGGCATACGGCTTCGATTTCCCCTGGAGCCGCCCCCCCCCGGCGAGGCGCCCACACGGTGGGTTAGGGTGGTGGAAATGTTGAGAATGAAACTGAGCTTGCCAGGTAAGAGCCCCCAGAGAACAAGAGGAGAAATTGACTTCCACTTCTACCTCCTCCAAGGTTTCACCCAGAGGAGAGAAACGCCAAGTAATTCCTGGAATGGTTAGTTTTAATGTTCACGGAAAAAAACTTTGCTGCTGTCCCTTTCAGCCAAAAGACCGAGTTCACACGAAGAACAGACATCAAGGGCAGTGAACGCCTTGGAGACACAACATAAACACGAGGGTGGCGACTGAATTGTGGCTAATGAGTGTCGCCCTGTAGGCTGGTTTCCCGGTGTGGGGCTCGAAGACCAGGGAGGGTGGGACCAGAGTCCTGTGGTCACCACAGCGAGGGATCGGGCAGTGTGGCTCGCCTGGGTGCCCAGGTTGAACTAGAGCCAGCTCCAGTGTCTGCCCCAGAGGGGCAGCAGGACTGGCAGGTCTGAGAGGTGGGGCAGTGTCCTGTTGGCACGGCGAGGGGGAGGCGAGAAAGCTCAGGAGAGAAGATGTGCAGAGAGGGCGAGGCGGGTGGCTAGCACAGTGTGCTGGGGGGAGGCCGGGAGCCCCAGCCTCCCCCTCCCTCCACGTCCTGCTGATGCCCCACACCTGACTCAGGGAGGGTCAGGTGCCACCTCCTCTGTACTCCTCTGCTCCCTGGACTGGATCTGCCTCCAAGTTCATGGCTGTGTGCTCCATCCTCCACAAGTGACATGGCAACACCCCTCCCTCCGGAGAGAAGGGTCAAATGGGGTCTACTTCCCCCAATCCTGGGCTTCCGGGGGCTGGTGGGGTATGAGACTGGAGACGCGCAGCCACGTGACTGGGTCTACTTCCCCCAATCCTGGGCTTCCAGGGGCTGGTGGGGTATGAGACTGGAGATGGGTGCAACCACGTGACTGCCACCTGCACCTCCTTGGGTGGTAAGAGGGCTTGGCGTCCCCCTTCCCCTCCTGGGGCCGAGTTGGGAGTACCCACTTCCTGCCGCGTCCCACACGGTCGGCCTCGAAAACGCTCCGTGTCTTTCTATGGGAGACAGAGAAGGGAGCCCCAGCGTCGCGTCTCAGCCCAGCAGCGGCACAGGGCCTCTCTGGACGAGGAGTGTTCGGCTGCTTCTCCTTCACGCCCCACTTGCGTCTGCAGCAGTGGAGGCCCGGCGTTCCCAGGCTCTGGCTGCTGTTACAAGGGAGCTCAAGTGGCCACTCCACCCCTGTTCGGGGAGCCCAGCCCAGAGGGATCCGTCCTGACCTGAGGGTCAGGGAGGCTTGCAGGGAAGCCCTGGGAGAGACGCCTGTGTGGGCCCCTCGGGCGAGGCTGCCTTTGGGGTGAGAGCCGAGGCAGTGCCAACCACGCGTGCTGGGTCCAGGCCGGAGAGTGCTGTCCACGGCCTCTCTGTGGCGCCCACCTATCCAACCCCACCGGCTTAAGACAGCGTGTGCCTCCTGGTGTAGAAAAGCTGTGCCCCCTGACCCCTGGACCTGCCAGGAGAGGAATGGCCTCTGCTGTGCCTCCCGGGGTCTTTGTGGGATCTGACGCCCTGCTGAGCTCTGGCTCTGGCTGGCCGGATCCTCATGGGGCATTTGGGATGCACCCCGCCTTCCTGTTCTCTTGGGTGGTACTAATGAGCAGCCCCCTCTTCTCCTCCTCGCAGGCCTGTGAGCGGGACGTGCAGTGTGGGGCAGGCACCTGCTGTGCTGCCAGCCTGTGGCTGCGTGGCCTGCGGATGTGCACCCCACTGGGGCGCCAAGGAGAGGAGTGCCACCCCGGCAGCCACAAGGTACGGTGCAGTCGCCCAGTGGGGGCAGGCGTGTGGGTGAGATGGGGGTGCAATGCGGAGGTGCTGGGGCCTTGCTCCAGCCAAGGCCGTGGTCCCCAGGGGCTGAGGCTGGTGAAGGGCAGAGCAATCATTCTGCCTATGGCTGCTCCAGGCCTGGCCGTGGAGGGGGAGCAGGCAGCCAGGAAGGTGCTCACCTCGCTCAGTGCCCTGCTGATGATGGGTGCGCGCATTCCTGCGGGGCTGACGCTGGCCACCTGCAACCTCCTAGCACAGCCTGGAGGCGTACGGATCTGATGTGATCGAGGTCACAGCTGGGGCTGGAATGGCGCTTTTCTGATGCCAGCTCGAGGCGAATCTCACTGCTGCTGGGCACGCCTGCTAGCGGCCCGGGGTGCATGGTGGTGCCACTTGCACAGGTTAGCTCCGGGGGCTGGACATCCCGGGTCTGGCATTTGCTGGGCGCTCTTGGGCAGTTAGCGTAACTGCTCTGGGCTTCATGTGCACAACAAGGGGAACAGACTGCCCCTAACGTCTCCTGTGGATCTGTCAAATGCAGATTTCGAAAGGGTCCCCAAGCCCTTTGATCTGTAGGACCCTTCCTTCAAGAACATGAAACGAGACCTGCCAATCAGCCCCTCCCTGTAAGCACTCATAAGGACTAAAGTGAGGCAGGTGAGGTGCCTGGGCACACACTTTAAGGAGCACCCACTCTTGCACCCTAAGCATCTAGCCCCGGCCAGCTCCCAGCCCAGGGGTGCCACAGAGCTCACAGGGCCTTAGCTTCTGAATGGGCCGATGGTGCAGCAGCCACTGGGGGCCTTCCTGGGGCAGGGCAGGGCCTGGCTGTGAGACTCAGGCTCACCAAGGCAGCCACTTCCATGCCCTTGAGAACCTCATCCCGGCTCAGGGCATCCTCCGGCAGTTCCCCCTCCTGTCACACCTCCCCAGAGGGGTTGGGAGGCTGGGGCTGGGAGCAGAGCAGGGCAGCCCAGCCCAGCCATCCTCCTTGCTTTGGGGGTGTGGGGCGGTTTGGCTGCAGATCTGCATTCCTGGGTGGGGGAGGGGCAGACTAACAGTGGAGATGTCAAATGCTGAGTGCTTGCTGTGTACCTCTTGTCACACCAAGTGCTTGTTGTAAACAAATACTCCAGAACTCTTTATAACTATATGTGGTAGGTGCTATTTGTTACCTTTAAAAATTTTTTATTGGGGCCAGTGTTGTGGTACAGCAGCTTAAGCTGCTGCCTACAGTGCCAGCATTCCACACTGGCACCGGTTCGAGTCCCAGCTGTTCCATTTCAGATCCAGCTCCCTGCTGTGGCCTGGGAAAGATGGCCAGTGGAAGATGTCCCAAGTCTTTGGACTCCAACCACCATTGTGGGAGACCCAGTGGAGTTCCAGGCTCCTGATGGTCTGGCCCAGCCCTGATCATTGCAATCATCTGTCTCTGTCTCTTTGTAACTCTGCCTTTCAAATAAATAAGTCAGTCTTTTTTTTTTTTTTTTTTTTTTGACAGGCAGAGTGGATAGTGAGAGAGAGAGACAGAGAGAAAGGTCTTCCCTTTGCCGTTGGTTCACCCTCCAATGGCCACCATGGCTGGCACGCTGCGGCAGGCGCACCACGCTGATCCGAAGCCAGGAGCCAGGTGCTTCTCCTGGTCTCCCATGGGGTGCAGGGCCCAAGGACCTGGGCCATCCTCCACTGCACTCCCTGGCCACAGCAGAGAGCTGGCCTGGAAGAGGGGCAACTGGGACAGAATCCGGCGCCCCGACTGGGACTAGAACCTGGTGTGCCGGCGCTGCTAGGTGGAGGATTAGCCTATTGAGCCGCGGCGCCGGCCAATAAGTCGGTCTTAAAAAATAAAACCATTTTACTTGAGAGGCAGAGTCAGACATTGAGAGCGAGCGAGCAGCAGCTGTGGGATGCGGCACGATGCTCAGCCACGCCGGGCCCAGGTCCCCACCTCTACCCTTGCTCTCACGGCGGTGCTGTGGGGTGGGCAGCAGGCTAGGGGCTGGGGTGGGGCAGGTGCCCGGGCTGGGCCACCCCTCCTCAGGTGACGACGCCTCTCTTCTCTCCCCAGAGGCCCTTCTTCGGGAAACGCCAGCACCACACCTGCCCCTGCTCGCACAAGCTGCTGTGCTCCAGGTTCCTGGACGGCAGGTACCGCTGCTCCACGGACCTGAAGAGCATCACCTTCTAGGAGCTGTCCGTTCTCAGGACACGCGCCCGGCCTCGGGGGCTTCCTCTGGATTTTCCTTTTCCGCCATGCACCCAGCTCCCCTCAGCTCCCCTGGCCCACGGCTCCCACCTGATCCCTGCCCAGGACACACAAGTAGTCCCAGCGAGGGGCTGCGGCCCTGAGGAGTGCCAGCCGCTTCTTCCCTGCTGAGAGGCTGTAGGGGGTGGAGAGGACGACACTCCCCACCCCGCCACCCCGCATGCACCCTTTCCCTGACACCGGCATCTGAACACAGGCCCTCGGCTGCATGGCCAGACTCGCTGGTGCGATGCCCTTTGTGCAAGGTCTCTGACCTCCAGACCTGAGGGCCCGGCATCTGCCTTTGATGGGATAAGTCATTATTTGCAGACCACGGGCCCAAGGTCAGCTCTTTCCAGACAGCAGTGGACAGTCCCTCGTGCAGTTGTGGGGAAACCATTAGGATCAGTCAGATTCCTGATGGCTGTAATCTCGCCTGCCTGAGCCCAAGACCTGTGACCTGTGACCGGCCTGTGTCCCTCCTGACCTTCACTGGGAACCATTGGAGCCCCCACTTCCCACTGCCTCCTCATTAAACGCAATGCGGCAGGGTTCGGAGTGACTGGACGGCTTCTTTGTAAGGATCAGCCGGTCTCTGTGCCCCCCAGCGTGGGAGGAAGGGGACAGGGAACTGGGCAGGGGCTGAGAAGGGTGTGGCTTTCAGGCCAGCAGGCCGTAGTGCACACCCAGCTGCACAAACTCCAGAATAAAACAGCACCCACCAAGGTGTGTGGGTGCTCCTGGGAGTGGGGGAGGGGCAGGCGTTCCTGCTGGCCAGTGTCTGCAGCCAAGTGGATTTGACGGTCTCCTTGGAGGAGGGGTGGGGTGGGGCTGTAAGGGAGCTGGGGTGCGTGCCTGCCCCACCCCCTCCCCAGGCCACTCTGTCCCTGTAGGTGAGGGAGCCGGCAAGGCCGGGCGCTTCCCCCACACGCGGGTCCCCGGGGGGCCCTGTCTCTCTTAGGCTTGGGGTGAGGGGTGCCAGCGGGTCCCTCAGGCTGCACCCTTGGCCCTCGAGGGAGCTTGAGAAGGGCTTTAGGCCGGGTGCCCCCGCCTACGGTTTCGCCTCCTCTCGCGGACTTGGTCGCCAGCTCTGGGTACTGATGCCCTCCTGGGGCTTCATCCTGGCTTCAGGAGCAGGTCCTGGCCGTGAAGTTTCCTCTCCACGTCCGCCCCCGCCCTCGGGGCTCAAGGAAGCGCCGGCTGCCACCAAATCCTGGCGGCCCGCGGGCCCCTGGGTGCGGGCGGAGCGGCCCCGGGTGAGGCAGCGCGGGCGGATCCGGGCTGCGGGCCACCCCACAGCCTCCGCCGCCTTGGGAGCGCCGTCTGCCCATCCACCGCGGGGCCGAACCGTCGTGGTGTCTAATCGGACCGATTCTTTTCTAATATCAGAATTTTGAGAAACGGATAATTAATCCCTGCCCCAGCCCCCTGCGGAATCAGATCGGGTGAAATTGACATCTCTTCAAGATCGAAGCCCTTCAATCACAGCCGCCACTTGTTTGGCCAATCGGTCATCTCCAACTGGTGGTGTCTTGTGCCATCTCGTGGCGAAAGTGGGGAATAGCAAGAAGAGCCGGGAGAGGGTAGGAGCCCGGACCCCTGACCCGGGCAAGGTCACACACCACCAGAGGTTTAGGGACCACCATTCCACATGTGGGAAGGGTCTGTCACCCCAAGGACCACAGGAAAAGTACTAACTGCCACCTGAGGCCCTGTCCCATCCTAGCTACCTCTTTCTTGGAAGCAGCTGCTGTCTTACTGCTGGGAGTTTGGGATAGGGGCTAGGCAAATGGCCTCTCACAGCTTCTCCAGGGTTGAGAAAAGTAAAGTGGGTGGGGGGTCGGAATACCAGGACTGCCCCTCCCCTCCACCTGTGCATCCCAGGACACAGCGCCACAGGAAGAACTGTCTCTCTCAGGCTCCTTCATCTTCAACTCTCTCTGTCTCTGTCTCTATCTCTCTCTGTCTCTGTCTCTGTCTCTCCCTCCCTGGCAGTCATCAGGTGAGGGCTCCCATCATCCTCCCCCTGTCCTGGGGACGCCTGGGCCAGCTGGTGCTCACATCCTCCCCACGGAGGAGGAAAGACCAGGCAGACAGCATGGACATGGCCAGAGCAGAGAATCTGCCCACTTTAAGGTTCCGTGGAAGGCCCACCTGCACGCGTGCAGGCAGACTCGGGATGGCGGTGGGCACAGTTCCAGCAGGCTGGGCATGGAGAGCAGGGTGGCTGTGGCTCCCACACAGCCCCTTCCCTCCAGGCCCCAGGGAGTGAGGCCCGGGGACGAGCAGCCAGGTGGGCTCCCCACAGGCTGTTTTGGTTGGGGGAGCCCTGGCCATGCCCCTTCCCTCGCGCCCTGGGCCCCTGGATCAGCTCCAGGCCAGGCCAGGAACCAACTGGCAGGATTTCCCTGAGTTCGAGTCGTCTGCTCCCACCAGACGGGGAGGCACAGGGTCCGGGGGTGCGTTCCAGCTGAGACCCTCAGGGACGCCCTCTTTCTGGTCAGGAACTGGACAGCAAGGCACAGAACCGTCTTCCACAAACAGTGCTCCTTCTGCCCCGAGGTCGGGATGACTCACACATGGCGGCCTCACAGTGGACATTGCTCGGCCAGAAAAGTGCAGGCAGCCCTGTCTCCTGTGGCAGCGTGATGGCCCTGGCGAGCAGCAGTGGCCTCTTGGCGGTTCCCTCTCCCGGAAGAGCCCACGGATGCGGAGGGTGTAGAGACGGAAGTAGATGGGTGGGGCGTGCGGCTGGGCTGGGGGAGCGGCTGTGGACGGATTCAGGGCTCCCTTTGGGGATATGCTCTAAAATATGATTGTAGGGATGGCTGCACTGCCCTGTGAATATCTTAGACATTGTTGTGCGTTTTATTTATTTATTTAAAAAATGGGTTTATTTTGAAAGTCAGAGAGAGAGAGAGAGAGGTCTTCCATCTGCTGGTTCACTCCTCAAATAGCTGCAACTGGCCAGAGTTGTGCCAGGTTGAAGCCAGTAGCCAGGAGCTTCTTCTGGGTCTCCCACGTAGGTGCAGGGACCCAGCACTTGGGCCATATTCCACTGCTTTCCCAGGTCATTAGCAGGGAGCTGGATCAGAAGGAGAGCAGCCAGGACTCCAACCGGTGCCCGTATCTGATGCTGCCACAGTGATGACCCTGTTGTGCTATGATATGGAAAGTACATCACAACGAAGCTGTGTATAGAAACCCCCATAGTTGTCGTTAAAATCCACAGAGGGAGAAAAGAAGGGAAGAAGGGGAAGAAGTAGCTATGCAGCTGCAGGCCACAGGGTGGGAGCAGGGGCGGCCAGGGCCGGGCTGCACGGCGTGGCTTCCAGGGACTCGGGTAAGGCCCACTCAGGACAGAGGCAGGCTGTTCTGTTGGAGAACGACACGTGCCCCTCTGCATAGGGCACTCTTGTGGGGTGGGGAGAACGGTCTTGTGCTAACCCAAGGGCCGTACGTCTTCGGGTGTAAGGGATGCTTTCATTTCCTCCACTAGGGGTACTGTGCTCCTCTGTGGGACGTGGAGGCTCCACGCGAGTGGCTGAGCCAGTGGGTGCAGGTGGGCGCCCGGCCTGAGTCCTCAGGGATGTGTGCTGCCCCTTTTAGACCCGCAGCCTGGACAGCCGGCCCTGGGCAGCAGCAAGGCTGCAGTACTGTCTCGTCCTCTTCCATAGCCGGGTGGTTCTCAGACTCAGTATCCTAACACCACCGAATCCCTCCGGTGAACAACTTTCAGGTGGGAGGAGGCGTTGACTTCTCCCTCCCAGGGGTCCATGTAATGGGTGAGGCCTGCAGCAGCCGCAGGTCGGTGGCCCTGTCCCCGTCCCTCCCTCTCTCCCCATTTGCTCCTGTCCCATCTCTCCCACTCGCTGGGTGTGGAGCAGCGTGGGGCCGAGTGGAGACCACTTGGCTCAGGTCCCAGGAGGGCCCTTCTTGCCCAGGACACTTTTAAGTCTGAAGGTCCCTGCTCTTGTGGGTCCTGGGCAGCACGGAGGAGGTGTTAGTGCAAGGATCCTGCTGGTGCCACTTGTGGGTGTGGCTTCCCAGGGATCACAGCCCCTGGTGTGGGGCAGGCTCAGCTCTGGTCCTGGCGAGTCCCGAGGGGCCTTGGTCTGGGGGCCCAGGTCCCACGAGGAGGCTGACTGTGTCCATGCAGAGAGACATGCTGATGAGGCAGCAGCCATGGGCTCACTTCCGACAGAGGAGCCTGGGCGATCGGTCAGGGAACCGAACCCCAAGAGGAAAGCAGCGCGGCCAAGGGCAGCCAGAGATTGCCCTGTCACTCTGCATTTTCTCCGTCGGTGTTTCTCAGCGAATTCCCAGCAAACGAGCTCTGTTCTCTTCTCGACAGGACAGGTGGGGGTGGGGCGCAGCTCTGTGTTCACAGAGCGGTCAGCCTGAGCTGAAGCCGGGCTCAGCCTCTTGCCAGTCCAGCTGGAGCTCTGGGCAAGCGGCTAAAACTCCTTGGACCTCAGTTTCTCCACCCATGAAATGGCAAAAATTACATGCTGACAGGGGAGTCTGACATGCCTGAAGCTCCATGGGGGATTTTTTTAAAAGATTTATTTTATTTTATTTGAAAGGCAGAGTTAGAGAGAGACACACACACACACTTAAAGAGAGATCTTCCATCAGCTGGTTTACTCCCCAAATGGCCATAATGGGAGCCGGGAGCCTGGAGCTCCATCCGGGTCTCCCACGTGGGTGCAAGGGCCCAGACCCTTGGACCATCCTCTGCTATTTTCCCAGGTGCATCAGCAGGGAGCTGGATTGGAAGTGGTGCTCACAGGGGATGCCAGCGTCAAGCGTCATGGACCCGGCCGCACCTTGGGACTGATTTAGGTATTTTTTGCTTATTTATGAAGGGCCGGGCCCCGGCGGCCTGGCCTGTGCTGAGCATCTCAGGCTCCCTGCGGGCTCCCTTGGGAAACACTGACCCGCAGATCTTATCAAAGTGCTTCTGGCTACCTCGCTTCAACCACAGGGGACGGTCACTGTTGCAGAGGAGGAGGGAAAGTTTACTCAGTATGGGCAGGCAGCTGGAGGCCCCGTGCTGTGGAATAGTTTATTTTATTTTTCCTAGAAAAACCATAAGGGAAGTGGGCTCCGCCTGCTGTCCTGGTTGTGCTCAACTGTGTTTGCATCTACTCGCCTCCCCCCACCCCAAGCATCTGTGTTCCTGAGGCTACCCCAGGAGTCGGCCGCGTTGGCCACTGTTCCCCACCCCATAGTCACAGGCACATCCCAAGCTCTGGGGTGAAAGAAGACGTGAAAATGCTGGCTCCTGGGTGGCCACCAGGGAGTCTGAGTCACAAGCCCCTCCCCCCAGCTCTGACCGAGGCCCGGGTGGTCCGTGTGCCCCCATTCCTCCCCAGAAACACTGCAAAACCTGTCAGCCACCTCAGGCTTCAGAGGGAGTCTAGCTTCCTTCCCAAGGGTGAGAGTCTGGATCCCATTAGGAGGAGCTGGGCCCAGCCAGGGTGCGGTCCTGACCCTTGCTCAGACAGCCTGCAGGGCCATGGTGGGGAGGGAGGGCCAGGGAGGGAGGAAGGG